CAAGCTCTAGGTTAAACAACTCTAATTCAATTCTACCTTGGTTCTAAGTTAATGTCAATTTAAGTAATGGATGTTGATTCAATGCTATTCATTCAATTCAAACTTAATTCCAAACTATTTCCAATTTGGTTCTATTTCATTCTGTGTTGGATTCAATTGTAACTTTGTTTATTCCAATTTGCGTGTAATTAATTTCTGATGTTAATGCCTTTATACAGTTCAGATTCAATTGTGTTACACATCTAATTCTACACTATTGTCATGGCAATTTACTTTTGATTTCTATATGTCTAATTTAATTCTAATTTGCTTCTAAGCCAATGCAAATGGAATGCTAAATTAGTTTTTGATTTCATTCTAGAGAGTGGATGTTGCTGGGGGGCGTGAATTTAATTCATTTAAGAAAGCAAATGCTTCTATATTGGAAAAATACATAAAAACTCTCATGTTCAAAGCTACACAAACGCTCTAGAAGTAAATGATAATTTCATAAAAACTAAAATTACATTGAACAAGAATAGAATATTAGAGTTGAATCTGAATTGTATAGCAATGAAACTAAAAGTAGCTTGAAATCAAATAAGAATTAGGCTTGCAGTGAATCCCAAACTAATTAGAATCTATAGTGAAGGAAATTTGAATCAACATAGAATATAAAAAATTGAAATAGACTAAAATTCAAGTAAAAAATAAAGTAGAGTGTATAGATTTGCATTTGAATTCAATTAGAATTAAATTAGAATTTATGTAATTATTCAGGGTTTGCAATATGTTGCCTTCTGGTTCTGATGTACTTACTCAACTGAATACAATTCACACTCTAAAAGTAAGAAATATTGTTTTGCATGGGGGGTTGCATGGAATTATATAGATTATTACATCCAAGAACTTCTTTTGTAAACACCTAACCTTATGGATTTAGACATTTTTTGTAGTACATAGTTGAATGAACAAATATGCTTACCAACATTGGTAAGGTTAATTGCACATAGAGCAAAATAACAAAACCACAACTTTCCCAATCCTATCAATGTCATATCATCTGCAAAAAGAGCAAACCTTACAAAAATCACAACTTTCACGACCCCACCCCCCATGACTACCGGTAGTAGCTAGAGGTAGGCAGCTAGTAGAAGAGGTAGCTAGTAGCTAACAAGTAGCTACTACTACTGACAGGACGCGGGATAGCTCATGCTCGCACTATAGTCACTATATAATGATTGGGTTCCTAGAAACTGAGGACCATTGAGTTTCTCCAAACAACTCATGGCCTTCAGGAAACCTGACCCCTGTAAGGCAGTGCAAAAGTGTGGGACGCATGTAAGGCTGTATCTGGTTTCATAGACTAAAGTGAGGCCAGGAAGAACATGCACGCATCGGCTCAATTCAGATCAGCAGCGTAGGCAGCATTTCCTGCCTGCGGGTAAACATCGCTACAAATGACACAGGCATTGGTTGAGTTTCTCTCAAAAGTGCATAGAAGAGAAAACTACAGCTCTTCGGAAGACAAGAACACAAATCAAGTCCGCACATACTGTCACGTACTTGTTGCTCATCACAAACCTCGTTGGCTTGTAAACGGCCCACAAGAGCCAGAACCAGAACCTAGCGCCTTGCAAGGTTGGCTAAGGAAGTCCCACTGCTCTCGCAGGTTTCTCTCTAACAAACCGGGGAGGCATGACACGACTAAGCAGTTCATTCTTGTGAACTGCAGAAACAAAGGTACAGACTTCCAGCGGAGTCCTTACCCATTGAGCCCCAGACGGGCGGTAGGTACATGATGCTCCCGCCGATCGTCGCCAAGATTGCGTGGGTAAGCAACCAGGGCCTGGGTGTAGTGTAGAGCAATCCATGCTTCTCTGTCAGCTGACTTGTATGAAGGCTGGAGCTTTACAGTGCAGCTTGAAGTTTCGATCAACCTGTGAAGTTCCAGCAAAAAAGTCAGCCAGGTCTCGTTGAATGATTTTGAATGGGTATCAAAGAGCAGAAACCCATTCACTGCAGAGCTTTGGACTGAAGGCGTCTACCGCTGTTGCCAAATGTTGCCAAGGCCCTCAAAACGCAAAATAGTTTGGGATACAGTAAACGTTTCTACCAACAAGGCTCGTCCGGCCGAGAACCGACATGAAAAACCTAGCGCACAGCTCTTCTGAGTGCCCAGGCGCGCGTCTTCCCCATTTCTCTACTGGGAAAAACCTCAGACACCCATTGAAGAAGAAACCGCTCCAGGCTGCGGCCGAATACACCTATGTTTCCTCACCATGATCTTTGCGATGGATGAACTGCATTCATATATGGTTGGAATGTGACTGTTGTCAATGCGCAAAGAGCTGCCGCATCTGCTCTGAATCTGAGCCACGGGACCTGCTCAAGACCTACAACTCAAAGGTGTTTCGAGGTTGTTCCGAGTGTTCCTTCGTTTGTTCCATATGTCCTTCGATCTGTTTTCCTGAATCCATTTCACAACTGTCTGCCGTTTTTTCTTCATCATGTGAGACGAAGCATGTGGACAAGCGGTCAGACCCCCCTTGCTCAATGACTCTCCATCCCGAACGAGCCTCCCTATCCTGCAGTCTGCCCATGAACATATCCTGCAAATGACCCAAGGTGTCAAGATGCTTTGAACGAAACTGGTGACTGATTCAATCAAAACATCAAACCCTACTCCGTCGAGCCACAAGTAGCTTCGCGGATTCTGGCCCTGATGGTGAGAGCTCTGCAATCTTCAAGCCAATGAACCAAGTCTGTACACGTGTCTGGCGGATCACAAGGCTAACAAGCAGGCGAGCTTGTTATTCTGGGCTGTCGTGCCTGAAAGGGTCCCCAGAAGGACGCGATCGTCACCTGAAACCGTGAAACTCATTCAAGGCAAAAATGTCGAAGTACTGAAATACCTCGTGAGAGTCACTGGACTGCCTCCGTTTGAAGACTTGTTCAAAGCACTGGATTGGCTTGGTAGTGAGGCCATTTGGCCCTTGGCTTGATGAAAGTTGGTACCTTGATGTATCTTGATGGTCACCCTGGCCCAAACACTCCGCCTCGTGCGCTATGTCAAGATGGTATCGGAAGCTGCTTAGGGCACACGCAATCTGCACTGCACCCAAAAGAAGTGGAGTTGATTTGCACGAATCCATTTGAGACAAATATCAAATATACCATTCCTCCTCTGCCGCTGGATTCAGCTCTGGTAACCTCTGGGTCTACAGAACATACTGTACTGCTCTTGATGCAGCAGAATGATGCCACAGTTTTCATCCACACACACACACCGCTGAGCATAGCGCTAGCAAACTAAAGGTCTTCGCATCGAGGCCAAACTTCTCCAAGAATATATCTTTTGCAACTCCAACCACCCCCCATCCTCAGTACAATTTCAAATCAAATTTCTCGTTGCCAAGTGACTCTCTCTCTCTCTCTCTCTCCCTCTGTGTTCTAGAAAATTAAAGTACCAATCATTGGCCTATGTTTTTTCGGGCCAATTGAGTCCCATCAGCAGCCAACCCCAATGGAAATCCTTGCAACCATGGTGCGGGGCGGAGCAATTGGCACAGGTTTCAGCGTTTGAAACAACTGGCAAGGAAAAACGCAACACACATGGCACTGGCCCCGGGTGCAGCATCATTGTAAGCCCAAACCAGAATGTGCGACTATTTCGCACGGTGTTTTTGCAGGTCCATGCCTATACTGTACTGACAAAATGAGCTGCCCTCAAAATTGCTCGTGCTGGAAAGGTCCCCATTGGACCGCTACACATGGAGTTGATATCGTCGGGGTCTCCCAACTCTACCTTTTTCTGATTGTTTTAAGTTTTAGGTCCGGCGCTGTCGGGTTGTGGTACAATAGTTGTCTGAGAAGGTAGCCTATAAATATGTATATATATATACCGTATATTAATGTTAGGTATTAGGTGCCTGCAGTATGTGTCCAGCAAAACGATCTCTCCTAGCTCTCCTATCCACCAAATCCAAATTGGGCGGCTTGTTGATGCTTGTTGCCAATCATGGCTTTATTCTCGGGACGTTCACTCATTGGGATGTAACTACACTGCTGGCTATGGAGGGAGTTTTGCGGATTGCTCCGACCACACCCAGTGGCCCAGCACAAACAGCATCCCGAGCGGCATCCCGAAGGGGCTGAAGAGCGACATCGCAAAGCGTGCCTTCCGCCACCAGGAGTGGCCCGAAGGGCCCCTGCCAGGGGTCTTGGAGTGGAAAATCCTGTTGGTTGGAGGCTCTCCCGGAACCTAAGATCACCCTTGAAAACTGCAATTTCTGAGCGAAGCGACCAAAGTCCATGCTCTCCCACCCCTCGGCACCGTGGTTGGAAAAGAAAGCCGCGGAGGCTGAAGCGCTCCTGCCAGGGCACGAGTGCCCTTGATTGGCTTGTCTTCCAATCCGAGTCAACCACAGTGTACAACCCAACAAGTTAAAGATTTGACAAGAAAAGGCTCTCCTTCGGAGCTTCGCATGGGGGCTTCATCGATCCGGCACCGGCCAAACCGAATTCTCGCGTGCAAAAGGCAAGGCTGAATATTTGGAGATGCCACTGGGGAATTGTGATTACCATGTTTATCTGCTTTTCCATGTTTCATGATGTTTCGTGTGCAAATATCAACGGGGAAATAGCAAAGAATTGGGTGATGCTGCGAACAAAAATTTGTCACCAAGCTTTTTCATGTCTGCTTATATCTTCCATTCCGCAGGACCTCTTTACTCCAAATCTGACTCTGACACCATGCAAAGCCTCCGCCATGTTATGCTAGGTAACTTCTTCCCATGAAAGCACGACCCTTTGGTCAAAAGAAGAGCCACGGCTCTGAGCGAGAACGGCGTATAATTACGTTTGCGTGCGTACAGTGGACGTGATATTCAAACAACAATTGCTGTGCGATTGCACCCAAATCGAGGGGATACGTTCGCCGTGCCTCTCCAGCTCGGTGACATGTCCAAAAATCACAAATCTTTTGGGTCTTATCCAACGATGCCTCTTGGGCTCCGAGCACCTTTCAAGGCCGCATTGCCGCCAACCAAGGTCAAAAGAAGCCTCGGCAGTGCATTAGTTGATGCTCATGTACTACTAGGAACAAGAAGCTACTAGGGACGCTATTAGGGGCTCCTAGGAGGAAGGACGCTACTAGGGGCTCAAAACGTCTGTGAGCTCCAGCGAAGTGCTGATTTCCCGCAGTCCAAAAATCCATCCGACGCCGGTCATCAACGGTTTGGTATATTAGATCTGGATCCCAGACTATATTATATATATAATCTAAGTTATCTAGGTCACTTGGTGCGTGAAAAAGTAAGGCAGGAATGATAGGGGATGCCTTCTCGCCGAGCAGCGCCAGCTTCGGCACCGGCAGCCCCGAGAGCCATGGCGCTGTGGCCGCCACCAAGGCTTGACGGCCCTGCCACTCGTCGCTCCAGTCGCTCCAGAAGCGACGGAAAGTGTCCTGCCAACATGAAAAGAAGGAAGGTGGACTTGGAAGAGCCTCCAACCTACTAGCGATGGCCTCCAACCTAATGACGAGCCTTTAATGGGCCCTTATTGTCCTTATATGTCCTTATTATTGAAGAAGCCCACTCTAACAAACAAATAGATGCATGCTGAGCGGTACATACTGCCTGTTGGGAAGCTGCTAGCTGCTAGCTGCTGATTGACTAGTGGAGGTAGACCAACCCCTTGGCCGATTGACATGTTGGGTCACGTCAAGTGCATGTGGTTGAATTATACACTTGACCGACACCCACATCCCGCGTTTCGACCCATTCACTGTCATTGGAGACCTCCCCAGCACAACCCATGGCAGCATGAAATTCAATGAAGGTACACTGAGCCAGCTCCATTCCAAACCACTGCATTAAAGCCACTCATTGACCAACCTGGGTTGCCACTTTCAGCTCCAGTCATCCCACTGTTGCCTCCGTCTCTGGCTTAAGCTGCTCGTCGTTCCCCTCGCGTGACCGACGCACCACATGGGTGGCTTCGATAAAGATCTCCACCTCCACACGCTTTCCTGCACGCATTTTCCAGGCTCAGTCCATGACAGACTGGCACCTCCCTTTTAACCACACTATACAACAAAATTGTCGTCAACGATCTCTAATGTCAGCCATATAGCATAAAATGTAATATAAACATTAAAAAACTAGCTCGTGGACCACAAGCAAACAGTGGTATTAGCTGCTAGCTCATGCACGCACAGGGTCTCAAGCATCTCAAGCGTCAAGTCTGCGTCCTTGGAAGGTAGGGCGCCATCGTTGACAGACTACGCCTTCCACCACGACCTTGGACGATGAACCTACAGGACCAACAAAATCGGAGTCGTAGGGTGCCAGCCCAATCTGAAAGAATGAGTGTTGCAAGACCCATCAGGTATCCAATCAAAACAGCGGCTGACAATACCAAGCAAGAAGAAGAACTTCGGAAAGCAATTGGTTCTGGATGCAACACAAGGAGGGTGGATGGGCCTAGTATAGGCCTGTGAGGAATGCTCCAAGCGGCTGAGTCTCCCGGTTGGGCGACACCAACCAAGTCCCCAAACACAGTCACTGCACATGACTGTGGCACAACCCCAACACCCATAGCTTGCCTCAGATCTCATTGAAACCAAGCAGATTCCAAAGCAAAGGGATGTTTAGTCTGTTCCAAGCATCCAGGCGTTCGCTTGGCAGCGGCCCAAATAGGTTGCTTAGCAGTAGGTCAGTAGGTGTGTTCTAGTCCTAACCACAAGATTAGCAAGTAATTTGATGTAATTGGGGTGGCCAGGTATTTTTAATGTCCAACCAAGACCTTGCCAGCAGCTTCAAGACTCTTTAAGCTGAAAAAACAAACTGAAAGAAACTGTTTGGCGAATACATGTTGCATATCATCTTGCACTCGAATTTCTTGAAAATCGGCCATGCATTGCTCATTCGCGGGCACCGTGGCGAACTGCTTGGAGTGGCAGCGTGAGGTCTTGGGACGCTTGGCTTTGGGGTCCCATCCTCAGATTTGCACAATCCACATTAGGGGCTCCTGGCAAGAAGCTACTAGGGGCCTTACTACTAGGAGCAAGAAGCTACTGGGGGCTCCTGGCCTTACTAGTCGCAACAAGAAGCTATTAGAAACAAGTGCCTCACAACAAGGAGCAAGAAGCCACGAGTCTCCTCTTCTCAGGTGGATTGAGAATGGTAATTTTGATCATGGGATCCCCCCCAGTCCAACCAGGCGGCAGCTCTTGATCGGCACTTGCAATCATTGACAGTCTAAACTTATTAACTGCACTATGTATCTTGGGTTGCTTTATTGACACTGGCCCAAAAAATGCTTAAACTGAAAAGACACACGCTTCTAGCATCCTTCGTGCAGTGGAAACCGTCACGTTGAATGCCACAAAGGATGCAAAATCCCATTTCTGCTGCCAACAACTATTCAAAGCAAACTGTTTGTTTCAGCTTCTCGAGGGAGAAATGTCAGATCCAAGCATTCCAAGCATCTAGTTTGCTTCTGTCCACCTGGGCATTCCCTGGGGACCTCGAACTCGTAGCCACACGTTGGTGAAGCCCGGCAACTGAAGGTGTGACCGCAGGTCCTGAAGGTGCAAAAGTTGGGAAGTAGTGGGGGCTCTGAGCTTTGGATCACCCCTTGCGCCATGCTTAGAATTCAGTGAATTGTGCCTTTATCATGGCGGAAAAGCCTCCGAGGAAGAGAGTGTTGGAATGCGTCGTCCAGCATTCAGTGTAAACACGTTTGTTGTTTGTTTATGAAACAGCGAGGTTTGTTGCTAGGGCGGGAACGTTTAAATTGAACGCTGCTGCATTGCTGCGGGGCCCACACAAAAGAATTGCAAATAAGAGTGCGAGCTAATAAGTGAACAGTGCGAATTTGAATTGAAAGTCTGATAATATATACTCCTAGAAAATGATGTCCTTACATTCGATTACCTTGGCACAAGCCCTCCGGAAAGTCTGCAACATATTTCGTGCGAGCTCAAACGTGAGGAGTGCTTGCTACTTTCACCTACTTTCTGTAGGAATAAATGACATCATGGCAAGCTGACCGCAGCCATGTGGCTCACAGCGGAAAGCGCGCCACTCCTGCACCACCTCGACATGTGAGTTGCTGTCTTCATGTTGTCATCGGCTGTGGTGTCATAATCGGCCTTGTTCTATAAACCATTGCAACATTGGAGCCTCCAGTTCTGGAGCATCCCTTTTCAACCATGACTATTCAACCTTTAGACTCCTTTGGGTCTCTCTCTTTGTATCTATTTGTATGATTGTGTATGTTTACGATTAGCAATGTACATCCACTCAGTCATACCGAAGCCAAGGCTTCCCCTGCCTTCACCGGCCCGGCACGGGTTACTGTCCCCGCGATGCGCACGAAGTGCCCCCGGTCTCTCACCCGGAGGGTGGACACAGAGGGCCGCTCGAAGCTACGCCCGGGCCTCGGACCCCGCTTGCTTCACACATCAAGTCGAAAAGTACATGTGGGACGGCAGACTCGCTTTCTTTGGTCATAAAGCATCACCAAGCAATTTTGATATATTGGATGGATACTAGTCTGTCTATATAATCGGACAACAAATCCGTGCAGGAGTTTCGGAACTACCTGCTGATTCAGCTTTTCCCTTTTTAGCCCGCCCTCAATTAAGTAGGCGCTTACTTAATTAAGCAAGAGCTAAACAAACTACTAGCTACTGGACGCAGAATAGTTCACACTCGCACTAATCATTTGGTGCCGTGATCTTTCGGAATAAAAACAGAAAACTATGCTTTCTCCTGCAATTGCTTTCCGAGACGCACATGCACCAGTCGCACGCGTAAAGTTCCGCTGAAGTCTTCTCCCAGTCCCAGTGAAGCGGCGGCTTGGGAGGCGGCTTCCTGCCAACACGCTAAGTATTGTTCAAGGGCGTTGAAGGGTTCGGACATGTCTCGTTTACAGTCATGTTGCTTACGTTGCGCATGTGTACAAGCTTTTGTACAAGCCTGCAAGAATGGATCAATACTGTGCTCAAGCTGCAGCTCTGGGCCCGACCATACCAACCTAAAACTCTCGAACAGCTGCAGCAGCACGTCAGCAACAAAGGAGTGGGCCATGTCAAATACCAAATCAATTTAGCACCACATCAATTTATCACTCCACAATTTCACTTTCTAGTAGTCTCCACCATCTTTGCTTCTGGGCTTGAACCATGGCTTACTTGCTGGCTTTTTGAACCAAACAGAGCGTTCCTATGTGTTCGTTGTATATCGTCAATGCAGTTCTTGAGATGTGACAAGGGTTCAAAACGCTGCTCAGCCTGCCTTCAATGCTCCGATGATGCATTGCCATCCTCTGAAGAGAAGAGTAGCTGATCCTCAACTCGAACGTCAGCACCAGTCATCATCTTTCGGATGCAAAAGTGAGTACAAGTTTGAACAAGCACTCTACCAAAGATAGTCAACATGACAGATTGTCAACACCTTCACAAACTGGTAGATTGCGTCTTACGTGTAAATGGTATCTTCTGAAAATAAAAAACTTGTTGTGCCTGTCCAAGAGATCCAGGAACCTTGTCGAATAAGTCCATGGCGTTCACCACAAGCTCCTTCGGCAAGGTGAGTAGGCCGAAACCACGCCCTAAGATGTCCTTCGGTTCTTATAGGTGTTTTCAACGGTGACATCAATGGATCTTTCAAACTTCTCCCTTGCTAGTCTCCTTTTTTGCAGCTCTGCCATCTTCCGGTCCAGCACCATTCTTGCAATCCGTGAGTTGATGCGCCAGCTCCCCAGTCAGGAAGAAGCGCAAAATGTTAACAAATATTTGCCTGAGGAAGGGGGGCTGACTTTGCACATCGAGCCAGGGCACTCTGCCTCCCAACTACGCCTGTGAATAGCTGCCTAAATTGTCAACACATTGTTTGTCAAATTTGTCAACACGTTCAAACACCACTGTCAAATTCGCCCGCACTGAAGGTGCTGGGGCATGTGTATATATCCGGATGGCGTAGTCAATCGCAAGATTTCAGTTTTTGCGGGGGGGGGCGCTCTTTTCCGGGCAAGAAACCTGAGTTTTTGAAGGTTGTTGAACATCGAGTGCCAAACAACTTTGTACATAACGGCACTTGATGAAGGATTTGACTGAGACGGGCAAGTGTTTTTTGAGGCGTTCTTGAAAAAAATCGAAAAACAAAAATGTTGGTGCTTTTGGGGGGGCTAGGGATTCGTATTAGCCAGGTAGAACCGGGATGATGGGAATCTATGTATTTTAGTATAAATTATAGCACTCAGAACATCTTTTGAAAAGCAATGAAAAGCAGGACACTGCTGACACCACGCTTGCGACGTCAAGGACAACAACTACTACTACGACGACGACGGCGGCTGCTGCTGCAACCACGATTGAATCTAGCCACTACCAGTGCTTGCAACGATAGAATACTACTGCCCATACCACAAATACCGCAACATTACCACAAACATCCACAAACATTTTCCCTGTCGCGGGCGGACCCAGCCGCGTACTGTAGCGGCGCGAATATTGCTGTGGATTCTTGGAACAAAGCGACTGTTCGAAGGCAGCAGTGTCCGTCTTCTCCAGATGCAGATCACCGGCAGCCACAGTAAGCATGAAAACCACAAGAGTCAAAAGAATGCAATGAAGATGTGAGTGGACTGGGTTTGGGTACTGATCCTGAAAGCGCGTGTCTAAGATATCTGGACAGCCCTTCTTCTGCATCAACCACTCCGAGTCACTGCTCTTCTGGATCAGGCTGTGATTGGCCAATGTTCGATGCCCGACCGGTCGAAGGATCCACCATGAACGGTAAAAACAAATGTCTTGAACTAAGGAAGACTAGAGTGACTTAGTGACTACTAGTGACTAGAGTGATTGGAGTCTTTGCTTGTTCGATGTGGCTCTTTGTCATTCCAAAAGTCTCCGTTCATCTGAATCTTTCAAGTCGGTCCTCTACCAGCATGATTTCATGCTAATCCATTCTGGCCACTTTTCTTGAGGCCGAAAGTATGGATGCTTAAGCTGCAAAGGGGAAAGCTTTCAACATACAAGAGTTCGTGGGGCAAAGCTTTCAACATAGAAGGGCTCGTGGTCTACTTAAGGAATTGCAATGTTCAAAGCACACTGGACTATTGAGAGCACTAGGTTACAAACATGATTGACGAGCACATGACAACGGACTCCGCTGTTGCAAGTCGTGGGGGCACTTCAATGGAATGCCAATGCCTTTGGCGTAGTTCTGCAATTGCGACCTTGGCTTGGGATTTGGATGCATTGGTCATCGCCAGGGCATTCATAGTCATAAGTCATAACAATGCTCAGCTGGGGACTTTACATGAACATCCGATTTCATGAATGGGAGCTGAAGAACCCCAGATGACTCTTCATTGCCATCATACTTTTGCGATACCTATACTGACCATGTGTCTAGCTTTCAGATGACTTCCGAACTTCTCCGATCAACTAATCACTCAACCAACTCTGCCCAAACTCTTAGTCAACTCTGCTTGTTGAGCACTCTCACAAGCCCAGGGGAATATAACAACTCTGAACTCCCCACATTTCCCGACATGTCCTTTTGCGAAGGAAGTATGACAGTGTAAGCGATCCCGTGCGGTTCCAGGGTGGTGCGACAGCTCCTTTTTCCCGTGTGGCACGCACAGGCACAGATGAAAGGCTTTGCGTTACCTACATCCCTGAGAGGCATCTAACCTTGGTAACGAGTCAAGGGCTTCCTACAAGAGCTACTCTGTCGAATTGAGGACATGCAATCAAATCCCTAGCGCTGTTTTTGCAATTGCAGAACACTGGCATGGGATCGCAGACTCTCAGGGCGGGTCAGCCTTAACCGTCTAAGCCTCCTTGAGGGGATCTAATATACAAGAGTGTCCTCTTGGCTCCACATGTTTCCGGTTGTTGATCTTTCCAGAGGTTTGGCAGACAAACGGGAACCTGCAGTCGGATGATACACTTCAAAAAGAGGCAACACGTAGAATGCTAGTGTACTTCTCTAGGTCACAACGGTCACTTCACCTGCAGCCCTGTGGTGGTTCACTGAATGCTTCAAACCCTGTGGAATGTTGGGCCAACAAACAAATTCTGGTGTTCGTCAGGATTGGAAGCGTTTGGAAAGGCTGGCAGAAAGAGGACGTTTAAACAACAACCCCACACGAGAAGGCTGGATCTGTAATGACCCTGTATGGGGCATGGGATCCTGCCACCCCTCACCTGGCGCGGTCGCTTCGTTCGAAGCCTATTGGAAAACCACGGCAGTGTGATTACTGGAAAAAAAAGGCATCGATTTGATCCCAGGCCAGGCAGACCCCACGGTTACGGTTTTGCATCTTTGCAGGCTCGACCAAGCATTGCAATATTTTCCAACACCTGTTCTGGTGGGGGGCTGCCTTCAAAAACGCCAAAGGCATGCCAGATGACGCACCACTGACCATGCGCAGCTCGATTCCATTTTGACTTGTCATACGCTGTTTGAAAAACATCTGCAGTTCAAATATTTCGAAAGTCACCTTCCATTGACCAAATAGCCACAACCTTAACAGTCAAAAACTTAAGAAATCATGTCAAAGGGAGAGCGGCAAAGATTCAACGCAATGAACAATGGCAACGAATAGCAATGAAATGCTGTGGCAAACTCCTGACCAAGCTGTTTAGCAAATCATTGAAAGAGGGTTGCGTGAGCAAGGGAAGATCGGTTGCTCCGTTGACCTGAACAACTCATAGGGCCATAGGGAATACGGAGACAGAGTGAACTTGCACCCTTCTACACCTGCTTACATTTTGCAATCATTGTACAAGAGTCGACACTACGCGGACTTGAGCAAGGGAAGGTGCTCGGGCTCTCACGCCAAAAAGTCAATGGGGCAGCCGTGAACAGAAGAGGTTCTGGTATCGGCTTGGTCACTGAAAGAATCGTTGAGTCACATCCCAGCCGTACCGAACGCCACTTCATTGGTCTCAGCCGCGCAAATTTCTGGTCCAATAAATCTGAATGCCATGGCCTCGAAATAAGAGCACTTGAAGCCATTGAGCTTCAGCTGAAGGGGCGAGCTATAGTACTGTGATGTTTGTGTTTGATTTGTGCTTTCTACGTGGAAAGTCGCCCGGATCTATGATGTTTCAAGTGGAGAAAGACAGACCAACTGCCGACCCTTCGACGTGCTGAGTGGTTCCAGGCCACTATAGCTCCTCGTGAACGGGAGTGACAGTAGCGGCCCAGGGACAAACACCCAGACATGATACGCCAACTATGCCGACACCATTCGATGGTTCAAAAATTCCCGCCGCTCACACAGGCCCTTGCTGGAAAGCATCCAAAGCAAAGTGTCAGGCGCCTTTGGGGCACTTACCTGTGCATTTGATGATCAATGCCAAGGCGGACATACTTGGATTGCACAATGGGCCCACTTGCAAGCACTTGGCTGCGTCCACTCATTCAATCTTGGCATGTTTGCATTGCACATTTTTTCTACACAGGTACACCGGGATCAAAAGCGTGGAAATCTCTGGTGGGAACCTCTAAAGCATCAAGGCCCTATCTGAGACGAAATGAGAAACAAGCATCCGAACGGACTGATTGCTACAGATTGATGGCCTGTCAAAATGCTGCCTGTTAGACAAGTTGTAGGAACTGTTGCAATGTGTACATGAAGTTTTCAAGCGCCCCAAAGACCAGGAAAAGGCACAGTCTTTGCACACTTTTCAATGACATTGGCATTGAACCTCCAACCGCCCACCACCCGACAAGCTTTGAGCTCTCGTGTGGCAAGGTGACCCTTCAAAAGAAGGTTTGCAAAGGTGTAAAGTGCTTCTGTCCGACACTTCTATCCATACGACATGCAAACTTGATAACACAAACATGCACAATCACTTGTGATGGGCTGCCTCATTATTGAAACAAACCCATGGCCCATAACACGTAAATACTTGATGTACACCCCTGCTGTAACTCAAAAAATACTATATAATCTCAATGGTTCGAATACAAAAATCCTCTAAATGTGTTCCTTGCTCAACCTTCGTGAGAAAAGATTGTGCAAAGCCCAAAAAGTGTGTGCCCTTGTGATATTGTGCAAACCACATGTTGGAAGCCATTCCCTCTCAGGGTCACCACGGGCAGCTAGGCTCCGGCTCCGCCGAGAGCCTCAGAACATGGACAGCGCTTTGCCAACGGCAGGGCCTTCGTCGAGCCACGGATGTTCCAGAGCCTCTTCAGCACTGGGTCTCCTCGGCGAACGAGCGACATCCATGTCGAGCAACCCTCACGAGCTAGCGAAAGCACATCCATGTCTTGCCCACGCAGTTGGCATTCCGCAAAGTCGAAGAAAACACCAGTTGGCCCATCAGCAGTGCCAAGTCGCTGCTCAGGGTCAAAGTTCATAAGTTGTTTACCTTGGCCAAACTACACATCTGGCCCTTGAAATAGGGAGACTGGCTGTTCCAACCTACAAAGCGTCAATGGCCAATGCAGAACGTATAGAACCACTCAAATTGTCTTTCTTGCTTGGCCCACATGAAAAATGGGAATCAAGCCCATCCCCATCCGACAAGCATACCATCACGGAATTCACCTAGATTGGATTCAAGACCTTTTCAAATGTCTTGAAGTTGGCCCTGCTCAAGGCCTAGAAAATTATTTTAGAGAAGTAACCAAATGCTTCTCATGTGTCTAAAAATACAAGCCTTGGAGACATCCTGAAATTGAAACCCAACTGTGTCATGAATGAAAAGCTCAGCTGCGCTGTCCAAATCAACCACGTCCGAGCTGCAAAAGTCACACCCCATCGCCTTGTCTTTGAAGTCTGAGTCCCAGTTCAACGCCGACTGGGGCACAAGGGCGGGCACAAACCAAGCTGGAATGCTGAATGTTTGTGGTCTGGCCCTTCGGAGACATCGTCTTTGGATGAGGTAAAGAAGAAAACAATCCTCTTTTGGGTTATATACTACTAACTACTAGCAATGGCCTCCAACCTACTAGCAATGGTCTCCAACTCCAACCTACTAGCGATGGCCTATCTTCTTTTTCCTAGTCCGAGATACTCGAAGTTCCTATTCATGGGCATGCTACTCCTCAGCTTCATGATGTCTGAGACATTTTGACACATTCAACACCACCCCTACAGGAACACCTGCTAGGCTGCTAGGAACAAGCAAAGAGTCATGCCTAGGAAAAGTTCTCTACGGTTCCAAGAAGCAAGAATCGACGGGCCTTACTTGGATGAAAGGTCATGAAACTTTGCCAACCAGTTTGTGATGACCCCAAGTCCATCCAAATCCCGTGTCTCGCCTTACGGACTTTGTCTGCGATCTCATGCATCTTGGGAGAGCCGACCTGAAGGAAGTTGGAACCGTTTCGACTTAAGAGAGGCAAACGGAGGGTTCTGGAGACCCTCTGCGTCAACCATACTAAAGTATACAACTCGTACTTTCTGACTCCGTGTTGCCAAGCTGTATCACCAAGGACTGCTAGAATGACCTGCTAAGCTTCTGTTGAATTTGGAATCGTGACGGAAGTTTGCAAGCTTGTTCTGCAAATTACGTAAAGCCCAACGTGGGTGTCCTTCTTTGTTTCCCTGGGCACGCCAAGCATTCAGATAAGTTGTTAGAATATGTTAAAACAAGAAAGGCTAACAACCCCTTGCAAAATGCATATAAAGCAATCCAAGATTGGGCAACCTAGGTGGCAAAGAACGAAACAAAACATTACAGCAATCGACTATTTGCAAAGGTGAACAGTCTTTCCGTTCGCTTCTTTTTGCCCAGGCCCTCGTCCAGGCAAACCATCAGAGTCGGAGGTTTCAGATTGATCACAGCCAATCAA